TGGGCAATGCTGCATCAACTGTAATATGATCTTATTGTCCTTTCAGGGAAAATTCCAGGGAAATGTTTTTGGCATCCTCCTCTTCCCGACAGCAGACAACATGTCGTGGCACAATGGAAGTTTCTGGCATCCTCTCTGACTTCATTCCTTCAATTTCTCCCATTGAATATAAACCATGTGACATCCAGAGTTGACCATTCACAACACACAACAGCAAGACCAGTGTGCTCATGGTTTTATAAATGTCAAATCCAAAAAGATAGTTCAAAACAAAATTTTCTCTGCCTCACTATGATGTTTTTTTAACTGTGCATGTTGCAATGTTTCTTTTCCACATGGACGTCAGGAGAATGCTGTAATTTTATAATTGCTGTTTGCACATACTTCACAGGTGCTCATAATCTCCTGAGGAAGTGTGTTTTTACCAGATAAAATGTGAAGTGCTTCTCCAAACCTTCTCCAGTCCTGTGAATGGCACCTCTGCACTGCCTGGCAGTTCTAGGAAGCTGCACAAAGAAAAAGTGAGCGGAAAATTTTGCTGATGCAACACAAGTATGTTTTTTTTTTATCTTTAGGCTGTGTACATACTTAAATTTGTATTTGAATTTCAATTTCTGCTCCAGGCAAGTACAACAACAATGCACTTGACATAAAATACCGTAAATCCTCTAATACAGGCCCGGGCCTGTATTTGACTCAAGCTTATCAAGCTCCAGGCCTTTATTGGAAGGAGGACCAGAATTAGAGGCAGGCCTCAATTTCTATTTGAGCAAAATGAACTAATGGTTCACTGGAGTTTTTGACAATTAACCCTTTGATGCATAATGGTCACTACAGTGGACAGGTACTCAAAATTGTTATTTATTTATTTTTGCTATTAAGCACAGCTGTTGAAGACTTTATTGTATATGAGCGCCTCCATTTGGACTTCAGTAAGGCAAGCCACCATATTTCATGTTCAGAATGCATGCTGTCCACTGAGATGGACATGTAATAAAGTATTTGTAAATTAACAAAATGTTACAAAAAATATTTGTTGAAATTTGTTTCATTCACACCTAAAGATGAATGAAAAAAATTGTTTAAAAAATCATGGTTGAAGATCTCATAATTCATGCATCAGAGGGTTAAAATTGCGCCCACATTTTCAAAGTTAAACACATTTCTTTTAACAACGGTAGTTTCTGCTTCAGCCCTCTCTCCCCTCCCCCTGCGCAGTGGCTGCAAACTCACTGATGCGCCTGCAGCCTCTCAGAGTTCCTGCTGCTCTAAACATTAAAATTATTATTTCATTTTCTGTTCCTCACTTCTGATTACCTTCAATGGTGTTTGTTTGTTGCAACCACCAGGTACAAAAACTAACTTGTTTTTATTTGACTATTTTTCTGTCCTGCCTGTTTATTATCTTCCTGTATCTCCTCTCAATCCTAAAGAAAAACTGCTACCTGCCTTCATATATATTCACCTTATGAGTTACCTTTGAACTGCAGTTGTAAAAGATCTACCGACCGCAAAAACAGCGGAGTGCTCGCCGGCCACATCAGTTAGGTGCGTCACCGAGGACAAAAAAAGGTGATGCCCCCGATCCACAGCAGCGAAACGCATCAGGCACAAATAAAAGAATAAAAGACAGAAAACATAAAAAGAAATGAGCCGACATGAACGATCGCGTGTTAAATTAGTTTTTGAGGTGGCGAGACCTGATTTGATAATGTTACTGTGGCCGTGCTCAGGACGCAGATGTCTCGAGCGCGTCAACAATCAGAGCTTTGCATGCGCAAGCTGGTTAATATGAGGTTAGGATGGGGGTGAGGGGAATGTTAAATTGCAAGAGGGTAAACGTCACAATTTGGTTAAATGGCCCTTTTACGGCGGGTGTCAGTACTGACGCTCTGGCACAGCGCGTTGCCTCCCGACGCGCAGGAGCTTGTCACCTGCTGACAGCAGGCTGCTGTCTTTTCCGTGAACTGCATCTTGCCGGTCATTATCACGTGACAGCGACTAGTCGATGACAGGCATAAAAAGTCACTATAGAGCAGTGAAGTCGACTAGTGACTAGTTCATACAACCCCTGCTACTGCTCCCCAGAGTGTTCTGCAGCATAATCAGCACGTTCTCTTTGAACTTGATATCAAATTTTCGCCTCCTCTTCGTCTCCGCACGGTTAAAGTTACCCTCGCGGTCTATCACTGGCAAATCAAAAGTGAGACGGAACACACAACCGCCCCCCGTACTTGCTTGTTACCACATTCCACCCGGCCACAATAAAAAAACTGGCCATTATTCACCTCCGCCGACTCCGACACCAGCCAAAATATGATACCCAGCAGTTAATTCAATACAGGCTAATATTAGAGGATTTACAGTAGCTCATATTTGAATTAAATCTGTATATTTCATGCATGTTCTGCGCATAATACAATTTACTATGCAAACTTACTTGAATGATAATTAAAAACATTTAAATAAAACAGATGACTTTATTAGAACTCTGAATACTTTTGACATAAGTCTGCACTTTGGAGAAAAACTATCTCTGCCCTAGATTTTTGTTTCCAAACATTTCTTATCTCAAGAACGACCTCACCAGGAGCCAGAAAGGGATGCATGTAAACAAAGGGCTGAAAGAATTTTGCCTTTCATAACCAAACGTACTTGATTCTATTTTAAACACTTGTCTTAAGCCCCACTTTAAAATATACTTTAAGATACACAACAGAAATAACATTAAGGCCTTAACAGCACTGAGATGTGAAGATGCTGTGTGTAACTATCTGTGTATTACTATGGATATTGCTTACTATGGTATTACTTGTCCAGATCTCTGGTAAAATCCAGGATACAGAAATGTCACAGATTCAGCATATTGGTCAGAGAAGCCTGTCATCTCAGTCATTGATCATAATTAACTGTAAGTTTTTGTTTTAAATATTGTTGCCACAGCACCTCCTGATTTAAAAAGAGTCAGTCTAGATTTATGAATGCTTATGATAACTGTGGCTGAATGATGACTGTAGCCTACTGTAAGTATCATGGACGTTATTGTGTGTGTGTGTGTGTGTGGGGGGGGGGGGGGCATGTCCCCCCTTCTTTTTCCAAAGTCAAGGCTTCACCCCTGCACTTTTTTACCATCTATTACGCAATATTAAATTGACACTGGTTGAGCACTAGGACCAAGCGGAAAGCAACCGTTTGTGTTGAAGCCTGTTTCCCATTAGAGCATACTGTAAAGATTTCTTTCCCCCCACCCCCCACCCCCCCACCCAGCCACACACACACACTTCTAAAGTGAAAATTACGTCCATGGTAAGTATCATACCCCAAGGCTGCTGCTGTGTTTCAGTTTCAAAAGAGCGCTCCGGCACCGGAGGGAACTAAACTTATGACCCCACAGAGAGAATGGCATGTTAAAAAGCTCAAATCCCTGTTGTGTGATTTCCTGTTGCTTGGTGGGAGGAACGCTTAGGTCAAAGTCCATTTCCTCACAAAAGAAGAATAAAAACAACTACATTCGCGTTAAAGTAAATATTAGTTTTCAGAGCATAAAATGTCAACAAAATAATAATTGTTTTATAAGAGAATAACATTAAAACTTCCCATTTTAAACCTGCAATGTGAATTATGTCATTACGCTTTAACCGTAAAGGGGCGGAATCAAAAAAATGTTGAACAATTTCAGCCAATAGCGTGTAAGTGCGTAAATCCAAAAGGCCCAAGACGTTGTGGTGCGTTCAGGTACAGTGGGACATTTTGAGCAGGCAAAGTTAAGAACATGTTACAAAATCTATTTGGACTAATTATGGATATTTTACAGCTTTTTAGCTTAGAATTTTTGACAGGAAGATATTTACTATATTCATAACTTTTTTATGAAACGTGTTAGGTTCAAGGACTGTAAGTGACTATATAAATTGAATCTTGGATCATTTAACATTAGTAGGGCTTCTTCAAAGAAAAATAAAGGAGTAGAATGCTTTTGTTTGGCTTCTGATCAAGTCCTTCAAAAACACCCACGTCACCCTGGTTGTCTTCCAGCTTCACTGGCTGCCGGCCATGGACGTAATTGGGGGGGGGGGGGGGGACAAGGGGGGACATGCCCCCCCCCCCCCCCCCCTTTTCCAAAGTCAAGTTTTGACCCCTGCACTTTTTACCATCCAAAAACAATATTACGCTACATTAAATTGACACTGGTTGAGCTCTAGGACCAAGCGGAAAACAACCGTTTGTGTTGAAGCCTGTTTCCCATTTTAGCATACTGTAAAGATACCCCCACCCCCACTTCTAAAGTGAAAATTAGGTCCATACTGCCGGCTAACTACGGGGTTCATTTGAAGATCCTGGTTTTGGTTTTCAGGGCCTTGTGGACAAGTGCCAGCATACACTAATAATCTTCACTGCCTCAGCAAGTCTCTGAGATCCAGTGAATAAAGCCTACTGGTTGTGCAGTGCACCAGGCTAAAAATCAAAGGAGACAGATCCTTTCCTGTTTTGGCCTCCAAACTCTGGGACTCTCTGCCCCTGAACCTGAGATCAATGGACTCAGACGTGGTCTCCTATATAAAGCAGCTGTAAACTCATCTGTTAAAGCTGGCTTTTGTGTGAACTTCTATTCATCCTCTTCTTCCTCAATAACTACTTTTCATAGTGTTAATTTATGTATATTTTGGGCCTCACTTGTTGTCTTTGTTTAGTTTAAATTAAAAAAATTCTGTGATCTTTTGTTCAAATTTTATTTTGTTTTCATAGTTAGTTTTTAAAGAATAATTTATTTTTTATTGTGCTTGTGAAGCACCTTGTTTTGATCTTGAAAGGCACTATAAAATGTCTCTATCTTTTCTTCGTCTTCTTTTTGTTCTTCTTCTGCTGCGTGGTATTGCACATATTGTCACCCTAAAAATCTAAATTTCTCCAAATTTGATAAAATTTTCACACTTTAAGAAACAATAAATTAAATCATCATTATTATTTTTCTTGACTTCGTTTAAAATCAAAGGTCGATTGTCAACTTTCCGAGTCTCATTAAAAGCACCACGATGGGAGGGTCTTGAAAGCTCCTCTGCCAGTCACTCGATTAGCTCAGAGGCTCGGAGGACAAAACTCGGACAAAAACACGGAGCTCGTCGATTAAACGAGAGCAGTCTTTTGACAGAGGTAAAATCACATATTTTATTCTGTAATTTTTGCGTAACCGAAGAGTTTACTGAGTTATTAACTACCGTCTGTGGACTTATGGGAAAGTATAAAGCCGCGCTGCTTAAAGAGCAAGTCACCCCCAAATAAACTATTTTTTTCTGATAAACTCTATAAATGCGTGTCTAATCATGCTGCAGACACGTGTAGTCAATAGTTTTGCACTTTAGTGCATTTTAGTTAAAATTTAAAATTTCTGCCTGAAACTGTCAGTGTTGTACCGTTGTCAGGTAAAAACTCTTCACTGCATTTGAATTTAAATCTGCCATCGCCATTGGCTAAGAGGTATGCTATGATGTAAACTGGTAGATTATGATGTCACAATGTCGTGAGTGTGTGTATTTGTAGTGGCCCCACCCTCTCCGTCTGCTAGGCAACAGCATTTGTTGCATTTTTCAAACATGAAGTGGGAGTGAAGTACGCTTCTTGTAAGGGGTGACTTGCTCTTTAATGAGCCGAAATACCAGTAACTCAGCGAGTTGAAACCTGTTACTCTGGTAAAAGTTTCCTGTTGATTTTCGGAGTGTTATCGACCAAAAACCCGAAAAGGGCCTTGTAATCTGTGGACACACCTGTTTGTTCTCCTCAGCAGTGTCCTAGTGTAGACATAGACCACCTCGGTATTCCTCATAGTTTCTTCTTCATTGCGTAATTTAATCATGTTGAGTTCTTTGATCAAAGAAACGGGGCCAATGTTTTCTCGTTAAAAAACCACATATAACTTTATTTTCGGTTTCTGATTTAAAACCTGCTTGAATGGTGAGCGTGTGATTGGTTGTATCGGGTTTTCCTCCCTCAACAGGAATTTCCTGGACAGTTAAATAATCGAAATATCTTCATTTTGGCCACTCAGTGGTCAAAGTCTGCCCTCGCCTGTTCCTGATAACTAATATAACATTGGTCTGACCCGAGAAAATTCCTTTCTCTGAGCCACCACACCCTTGTGCTGCTGAGCTCTTGTAGCGCAGACCCTCAATTCTCTTGCAGGCTTGGTCCCCACAGAGCAAAAGTACACCCCAGCTTTTAGTCAGAACCAGAGGAGCTGCTTCACCTGGAACACTCCCTAAACACGCAAAGGGGTGGTATTCGACAGCATATAAAAGCTTGGAAATATTAGTTCACATCATGCTTCAGACTTGTCTTTCACATGAAAACATAATACCTTTGCTCTGTACAGACACAGCAGGAAGTGGACAGGAAGCGCCACTCATTCTCCAAAAGAGACCCACCCCTTCCTAAACAGCCATTTTACCTTAGAGGTTATTTTTCCTTATCCACATAGAAAACCAGCCCTTATGCACATTAAAATGTAAAGATTTTCCATGTTGCCTTTAATAGATTACTGGAACCTGTAGTTTTGGACAACATGTAGCTAATTGGTAGTCTAGTGAACTAGACCAAATTCTTGCTTTGCAAAGTTTGGTCTAGGAATGCTCCATTGGAACCTCCACAGCCCCTAGCAGCATTTTGGCTGGCCATTCACAGCTCTGTATTGACCCTTTGCACGACGTCACGTTGGTCCACCATGCTGGACGGCAAAAGCATGTAAACAGTGAGCGACACGAGTACTAACCAAGGGGAAAAGTAGAGCCTGAAATTGTTTTTGCGATCAAAACAAAAACAAAACTCCAGCATTCCTTCAACTAGTTCATGCCCAGTTCAGTTATCAGAAGTAGCACATCTAGTGGGGGCTCATAGAGAGCGGTATGTTAACTAGCTTCCCAGCGTTAGCTTACGTTCTCTCTGCAGCTGTTCATCGATGTAAACATGTTGCTGACTTTGCCTAAATTCACCCCGCTGGATTTATAACATTATGTAATAAACAGCGTTTCACTTTACACCAAAGCTGATTTTTAAAAAGTCCGGATCCCTACCAGTTTCTGTTGTTGGTGGTGTTACCAGGTTCAGCTGCTGCTCTCACACCGGAATGAGAAGATCTCTGAACGGTGATGCTCATATAAATAAATAACCTAATTTTAACGCATGTAATCATACATCGGACCTTTAATATTGTTAATAATTATCTCACCTTACACTACAGTGGGCAGCGCACATCCTCCGTGGTGAAATACCCATCCATCAGGATTATCAATAACTAGTATAAACACATCACATTTATCCCTGTCCCTGTCTTCCTCGTGAAATAAATGAATGTTTATCTTACCTGGTAAAAACATGTTCGTTGCAAATCTGAGGGCTGCGAGTCCACTTGATTGATCGCTGCAGTTCATCTCCATCCTCAGTCTCCATCAAAGTTATTAAAAAAACAAAACGAGTTGAGTTGACATCCTTGTCTGTTAGTGCAGCCAACCACGCAGCAAGCTAAAACCATTTTACTGTCAAATCAACTAAATAAAAGCGATAAAATGCTACAAACTGGCTTGTTTTGACTAGCTTCACTGGAGTTTCAACGGGTGCAAACGATCTTTTTGCTGTCCATCATGGCGAAGGGGGCGGTCACATGAGCGGCCTGACGTCACATGCAAAGGGTCAATAGGGAGCCTAAGTCTACTTCCGCACCATAGGTCTCCGGAAGAATGAAAAAATGAATGCAAGTCAATGGGGCTAAAAACACTATTTTCTAATCTGCTTTGCCTTACGCCCTGGATCACACATGTTGTACTGCAATTTAAATGAAAAGTAATGATGGGTGTTTTGACCATGCCAGTCAAGTACTTTTATTAGCTTGTAAAAGTTCGTAATTAGCATGACTACAAACTAGAAATCGGCACGTCGCATATGTGACGTCATCACATAATCTCCTCTCCCCTAACGCAGCTGCTACTTACCAAATGACCAGATTTATGGTGGTTCTTTCCTCCTGTGGGAAGTTTGCTGATCCGTGTCTGGTGTGATGATGTCACTTTCGTGAAGCGCATTTGTAGTCCTGGACTTATTTTCGCCCTGTTTGAAAATAAGCGCGTTCTTGGTATCAAAATGTGTCTTTGAAATTCACAGACATATGTGAAATCCATGGCACAAAACTAGCAAAATTAGGAAATAGCATTTTAGCCCCATTGACTTGCATTCATTTTTTTGTTCTTCCAGGTCCCAATGGTGCGGAAGTAGGTTCTAGGAAGTAGGTTAACTGTGATTGGTCCACAATGATTGGCCAATCACAGCGCTCTGTCTGCTTTGTGAACTGATCAGGGCTCTCTTCCTCAGGTGAGCGGAACAAGATGGCGACAGCTCATTTGAAACGTCTTTTACATCACTTTTGGACTATTTGAACTTGGGCTTTATTAGAATCAGGAGCAGATACATGTATTTAAGTTCTATTTTTAGAAAAAAGGTTGTAATTTGGCCTTCTTCAACAGCGGAGTACCTCGTTTACCGACATCCATTGTGGTGAGTATGTCACGTTGTTCATTGTCCAGTAGCATGCAGAGATCGTTTGAAAGACAACGGTAGAACCCGCCCCGTGACCGAGAGCCGTCAATGGAGTGTTGCTTGCCAGGCTAGCTATTTGGTCCATCTGCACTGCACCTAGCATTGACTAGCCTGGCAAGCCATCCTTTATATGTGAATATTTAGTCTTTCCACGAGACTGAGATGGCTCTCAGTCGTGGGTTGGGATCTACGGTTATCTTTCAAACTGTTTCCACATGTTATTGGATGACAATGTGACGTACTCACTGCTATGGATGTCAGTTAGCCAATTAGGCAGTCTGCCATGCTCTGTCAAAGAAAATGCAAATACATCCTTTTTCTAAATAAATTAAAGTACCTCTATCTGCTCTTGACTCAAAGAAAAGCCCAAGTCAAAACAGTCCAAAGTTGATGCCAATATAATTTCAAATGAGCCGTCACCGTCTTTGTTTTTTTAGTAACATCCCAAACCAATAGAGCACTGTCATTGGATCACTACGGATGTTAGTGAACAGGGCCATTCGCCATACATTGTTGAAGAAGACGCAAACCAAACTGATAGAGTGCTGTGATTGGCCATTCACCATACTGGCCGGAGCTGCGGAGGTTCCAATCGAGACTGTCCTTTTGCTTCAGCAAACTGATTCCTGCGCTGCATTTGTTTTTAGAAAAAACTATATAAAAGCTTTTAGGGTTTTCCTGTCCAATTCTATTCATAGATGTTAATTTAAAGTCTCAGATTGAAAGATATATTTGAAACAAGTGGGTGGTCGGTCATTAATAAAAACGATTACCATGGTTTAGTTCATTTATTGCCATTGTGTTTAAAATGGTTTAACATCAAAACAGACAGCAAAACTCATCAGTACCACTCAGCCAGGTGTTTGTTTTTGTATCGTCGTCGTCGTCGTCTTCCTCCGCTTATCCGGGTCCGGGTCGCGGGGGCAGCATCCCAACTAGGGAGCTCCAGGCCATCCTCTCCCCGGCCTTGTCCACCAGCTCCTCCGGCAGGACCCCAAGGCGTTCCCGGACCAGATTGGAGATGTAAACTCTCCAAAGTGTCCTGGGTCGCCCCGGGGGCCTTCTGCCGCCAGGACATGCCCGAAACACCTCCCCGGGGAGGCGTCCAGGAGGCATCCTGACCAGATGCCCAAACCACCTCAACTGGCTCCTTTCGATCCGGAGGAGCAGCGGTTCTACTCCGAGTCCCTCCCGAATGTCCGAGCTCCTCACCCTATCTCTAAGGCTGAGCCCGGCCACCCTACGGAGGAAACTCATTTCGGCCGCTTGTATCCGCGATCTTGTTCTTTCGGTCATTACCCAAAGCTCATGACCATAGGTGAGGATTGGGATGTAGATCGACCGGTAAATCGAGAGCCTGGCTTTCTGGCTCAGCTCCCTCTTCCCCACGACAGATCGGCTCAGCGTCCGCATCACTGCAGACGCCGAACCAATCCGCCTGTCGATCTCCCGATCCCTCCTACCCTCACTCGTGAACAAGACCCCGGGATACTTGAACTCCTCCACTTGAGGTAGGACCTCTCCCCCGACCCGGAGGTGGCAAGCCACCCTTTTCCGGTCGAGAACCATGG